AATAACCATTGATAATTTCCTACCACTTTGTCTGTAATTTGGTAAGCCCCTCCTATTATTATGTTATCCTCTTTTACTCTTAAAAAAATATATATATAGTAACAAAATAGAATTCTTAAGTGATTGAAATATGGTAGAACTTTCTAGCAGTAAGAGCAATACTCTATAAGATTTTCAAATTTGCTTATACTTTCCTGTTTGAATCAATAGATTTTAATCATATTACTACTCCATATCTGAGGCAAGATGCAAACAGCAAAACCTGCATGTGCTGCAAATGCTAAATCTATGGTAGAGATCAGTAATTAGCTGAGCAACTCATTGCTAATTTCATGTTTTATCAAAAATTCTTCAAATAGGATCAACTACTATGTTATGAATCAACAAAATAACTCACAATTGTTAAAAACTTAAACTTTGGGCTTATAAATTCCAATTATATAATATCATTCAGATAATATTTTTTCAGATAGTATTGAATATCTGCATTCATTCATCTGAAAAAAAAATCACAGAAACATCAGCACACAGGACCATTACATGAAGATGCAAAAGGATCAAATGATTTGTAAATGAGCTACCTATATCTCAGAACAAAGATTGAGAGTTTTTGTATGAATACAGAAATATCTAGCACTCAAAAAGGTAAAACTGACAGTTTCTGGAAGTCAGTTGAAGACTCAGAAATACAAGGAAAGAATATATATCAAAGGTGAAGAGGAAAATTAATATGAACTGATGCAGATGTTAGAATTAGCACACAAGGACATTGTGTATCTTCTAAACATTAATCAGACAGAAAATATAAAGAAGATGAAGATCCAGTTTTATAGATGAAAAGTATGTCTGTAATGAAATGCACTAGGCAAAATTAACAGAAGATTAGATAGTGAAGAAAAGAGATGATAAACTTGAAGATATAGTAATAGAAACTATCTAAATTGAAATAGGCAAGCTTATCCCAAAACTCATATGTACCTAGACCAGCTAAAAGACAACTAAAGTTAGAGAGAGAGCTGAACCATCAGAAGTCTTACTATGGAGTTGCAGTAGTAAGAGAATGCAGTATTGCTGTAAACAGACAAATCGCTTAGACAGAGAAGAGTCCTAAATAGATTCATATACATAGGGACAATATTTGTCACCAAAGTTCAAAGCCAAGAAAGGATATTTTTGTTTAATGCATAATTTTGGGATAAGTATATACTTTTGTGCAAAAAGAGGATATATATGACTCATACTTCATGCAAAATTAAAGTGGATTATTGTCCTTAATATAAAACATAAAACTATGCAGCATTAAGACAAAACTATCAGAAAAAAATCTCGTTGTGTTGGTTGGGCAAAAATTTCTTAGATACTACACCACAACCACTAATTATTTTTTGAACAAGCCAAAAAATAAATAAACTTCATAAAGTGTACATCATCAAATTTTAAAATGTTGCTCTTAAAAAGTACTGTTAGGAGAAGGAAAATACAAATCCTATCCTGGGAGATAATGTTCTCAAAGTGTATCTATGATAAAGTATTTGTACCTAGAATATATACAGAGCACTTAAAACTCTAATGAGAAGGTAACCAGCCCAAGAGAATAGAAAAAAAGATAGGAGATTTATAGATTTGAATAGATATTTCATAAAAGAAGTATGAAGATGAAAAATAATGATACATAAAGCTGTTTAGCATCATTTTTTGTTAGAATAAATAAGATACTTATTAGAAAGATTTACATTAAAAAGACTGACTGTATAAAAGATTGGCAATGATTTGGAGGAACTATAACTCTGCCTGACATGAATCAGATGCTTACTATCTCCCATAATCTTCACCTGACAATATAGAGCTACCCCTGCTCACTTTTTAATCCAATCCTGTGCTGCTGTCTTCTCTCAAGACATGAGGCCCAATACACTAAATCTCTAACTCAAACAAATGAATATTAATAAAAATCTAAAGCAGGCACATAATTTCAGATGCTGACCTGATATCTTGATATGACTACAGCAGACACCTCTTGTAATACAGAAATCTCAAAGACTGATTAAGTGTCGGTATGAATAAGGTTATCTTGTTAACCTCTGAGATCAACTGACTTTAGAATGAAGCCTCAAATGTTATACTTAGAGGTGAAAAAGTTTAGTTGGAACTGTCAGGTGTATTTCTTTTTAAAATTCAACTACAATTAACTTCTTCCCTCAGTTTCAATGAGACAATTGCATAGCAAACCTGACACTCAACGTGATCCTTACCTACTACCTGGTTTCTCCATAGTACATAATGTTTAAAAGTTTCCTTTCCTCCCCCTTCAGAAACACTTTCAGGATTGAACAGCTTTGTCATTTATAGTGACAATATCTGTGTGCCATATGAAAAGCCAGTTCAAGTTAATGCTATAGTACAACAATATCTGTACCAAGAAAGTACAAAATAAAGCTTTGCAAGGTACTACTCAGTACCTGAGCTTCTTCCTGCTGCTTTTTCAGCTGTTCAAGCATCTGCTGAAATTCTGCCTCTTTCTGTTCAGCCTCTTCCAGCGTGGCCTGATTCTGTTCCTCGTAGGCCATGGCCACCACAGCCAGGATCAAATTCACCAGGTAGAAAGAACCCAAGAAAATGACTAGGACAAAGAATATCATGTAGGTTTTCCCAGCAGCGCGTAATGTCTAGGGAAGAGAAGGACAAATCTCATTGATATCTTAGTATAATGTCTCCCAACAAAGATATGATTACCACTGTTAGAAATATTTTCCCTTGGGCTGGGGATATAGCTCAGCAACACAAGAACCTGCGTAGCAAGCACGAGGTCCTGAGTCCAATTCCTAGTCCACAGAGAGAGACAGACAGAGAGAGAGAGAGAGAGAGAGAGAGAGAGAGAGAGAGAGAGAGAGAGATTCTCCTCATTTTGAGCAACTGATTTTTGAAGGTAACAATATGCAATGGAATTACAATGGTGAACTCCTACCATCTTGTCTAGTGAAAGTCTGTATTGTCTCTACTGTTTTATCGAAGAATTATTTTCTTATTCCCTATAATGGTTTGAGCAATCTTTCATTCTTGCATCTGGTAATCTGAGCAATGTAGTTGAGGATAGCGACATGTCACGTGACAACCACTGTTGATTCGTATTAATGTCTTGAGACTCTGTATCACTTTGAATGTTCTTGCTTTGATTTGTTTATGTTTTTGATGCTGGTATGCTGCTACTGTTCTATTTCTTTGTTTCTCATTTACTACTCTCTTTAAAATTAAAAAAAAACTACACTTATCTCATTGCTCTTTCCACTTTCTGAAGCAGTTCTGGAAGTCCTTTCTTGTGTCTCGCACAAAAGAGATGTGATCAAAAATAGGTAAATGCTCCTGACAAGTGCCATCTAACGGAAAGGCATGCTCTCAAAAACATTACAGTGTGCCTTATTCACCTGATAAGTCACCCACTCCTGAGTCTTCCCTCAAGTCAGAATAACCAAGAAAGGGAGAGATTTTGAAACAATTCCAGACAGGGAGGCAGCCACCATAGCATGAGTAAAGACTTGGGAAAGAGGTCTACCACAACTGCCTCTGAAAGTGGCAAGAACAACAGGATAAGTGGTTTGAACTGGAAGAGATTTTGAGGGGAATTAATGGTGCTATGTCCTTTACTGTAATAAAGTTTTAAAAATTTAAATATCGACCAGATTTGTTGGTCGTACCTCATAAACACATTTCAAATTATTGTATATATACTCAACCTTCCCCAAAATGTCTCCATTAGGGTTCACCAAACAAGGCACTATTGCAAAGAAAGGTTCTGTCTTTAATTTCCTTGAGTGTGTTTCCACATCGACAGCATCATGCACTTTACATCTTCTAGAGATGGTATCTTCCCTCCTCTTCTAGCCTCAACTAGCTATTGTTTCATTTCAAATTTTATATAACTATTATGGTTTGTGTCTGGCTGTCCCCTCAAAGCCTCCTGCAGTTGTGGCATGGGCTTCTAGAGTTTATGATTGATCTATGGTCCAATGCTGGGATTATGGGTGTGAGTGCTACACCCTCCCTGGGGCAGGCAGTGTGCGTACAAGGAAAGATCCTGCTCTCTTCTGCTCCTCCCTTTTGCTCTTGTTGTTTTTCCTATCTTCTGTCTGCCCTGAATTGTTGTCCTCTGCCATGTGCCACTCTGCCTGGGAGCCAGCCAAGCATGGACTGAAACTTCCACAAACTGTGAGCTAAATAAACCTTTCCTTCTTTAATTCTGGGCATCAGGCATTTTGTCTCAGCAAGGAGAGAAAAGTAACCAAGACAATAACTGATTTTTAAAAATCTTTTCACATGTCAGTTTTATCTCCACAACTAAATTATAAACTCCTTAAAGTAATGAATATTCTTTGCATTCCCCATAGCCCCTAGCAGAAAGCCTGTCTCATATGAAAAATCTCACCTCCCTGCCTGAATATAATTCTGAGTGAATGAAGGGTGGATGAGGATTCTAAGAACACTTGCTGTACACTGAATTCTCTTTTCTGTATCAGAGGTTTATTAACAAGTATGTTTATTATTTTGTGTGTAAAATGTGTAAGATAAGTAAGAGTATACTTATCATTTTATATATGCACATAAAAATAAATACCACATGTGTTAATTTGGACCTTACCAACTGATAAAGATTCTCCCAGTAGTCTTGAGTCATGAGTCGAAATAGAGATAAAAAAGCCCAGCTAAAGGTGTCAAAGCTTGTGTAGCCATAGTTGGGATTTCGACCAGCCTTCACACAGATGTATCCTTCTGGACACTGGCTGTAAAAGAGAGAAATGACAGTGGGCTCAGTATAGATATTACAGAAGTATCAGTCGATCTTGATTTATAGGAATTGTCAAAGCCCAGAGTTTACTATCTCTGATGACTTTTTTTTGCTTTCATTCTTGAGGTAATTGGTCACAGGAAATTCAACAGGTGAAACCTATCTTTTGAAAAAAGTAGACAACTTAGGTATAAGAGAGTCAGACTACAGATATTATAATGGCAGAGGGGCAGCAACTATGTACTTTTGCCTCTGACACTATCATGATTCTATACTTTATGAAGTGGTAAGAATCAATCACTAAAAATTAAAAGTGAGAAAGTAGTCAAAGGGATGGAAATCCCTTACTGGGCTATTTCAGTAATCCCTTTCATAAAATTATCTAGAATAAAATTTATATTTTAGAATAAATTTAGAATTACAGAAAAATTATGACAACAGTACAGACATACACACTATGCCCAATTTCTAACATGGATATATTATTATTAAAGTCTATACTTTACTCACTTTCCCCCAAGATTTTCCTTAATATTTTCTTCTGTTCCAAGCCATACATTTAGTCATCATGTCACTTTGATGAGGTTGGGAAGTTTTGAGTACAAGTCAGGTATTTTGTAGAAATATCCTTAACTTAGGGCTTATCTCATTAGTGTTTTAGGGTTATGGATTTTTGGATGGAAGAGTACAGAAGTAAAATATCATCATCAGCACATCGCACCAAGGATACACACTTATCAGTATAGCTTATCACTGTTGATAAGTTTCCTCATCTGACTTGAACTAGTGTTTTTTATGTTTGTATTTTAGTGTTTCTCCACTGTAAATTTACTTTTTTCTTTGTATTCAATAGTACACTCTGAAATTAAGTCAGAATGTTCAGCTCACATTTACAGAACAGGTACTTACAATCTCCTTAAAGGCGGAGTATATACAAAAATTACCTAGAATTCTTCCGCATGGGATATTTGCCCATTTATTCAATCACTTATTTACATAAGCATATCGTTGTGGGTATTCATTTTATACTGTTAATTATAATGTAATGATCTTTTCCTTTCCTGTTCAAATTTTTCCATCTTTGGCCACTGGAACCTTTTTTTTTTAAGCTGATATCTGTCTCAATTTTACATACCTATGGTTGCACGTTTCGTCTTTATTTGTTTCCTAGGGCTTTCTTACTTTATGGCACTAGAAGATGTTCCAGATTAACTCTTTACCTTTCCTGGGCCAGTTTTAAAACCAACCATTTCTACAAAGAATGCTGGTTCTTTTTATTGGAAAATAGTATTAGAAATCAAGATCTGGGTGCTAGTAGGATCTTCCTTGCTAATGAGATATTATTACTTCTAGGTCAGAACAAGAACATACATGTGTGTATGGTAACCAGAGACCTGTAGACAGTTCTAAACAAATATCCATATTTGTCACCATTCATGTTCAGATTAAGCTAAACTTGAGTTCATGCTCACATCTCCAAGTTGAGTCCACTCCCACAAGGAATATTTTAGACCTCTCTTTTGGCTTGTTTTTAACTTGTTATTCCATCCACTATCTATTTACTTAATCTCAGCACACATGCACTAGCAGTTTCAGGATTATCAGTCCACACTGCTACAAGAATGGACTTTGCAGACTGGCATGCTGTGTGTCTTTAGTCTCAGAGACTCCAATCATTTCCACATCGCTACCCCACTTCCTCCAATAAGTTTGTGTCATGCATTTACACTGAACTATTTGTGTCACATTCTTCTTTTAATTCTTCCTGGAATCCCACCTTCATAAAGCGTTTTTAAAAATAATTTGCAGACATTAAATTTCACTGTTCATTCAATGAATTTTGACAAATGTTGACTGGCTTGTTTTCACCATTACAGAATCATATCAAGGGATTTTTCCAGTCCAAAACTATCTTGGTGTACTACCTCGCTACAAAAAGTGACAAATCTGAGACATTTGTGGTAAAATGGGTGCACCTGGAAAATATATTTTTGAATGAAATAGGCCAGACTCACAAGCTTAAATCCTGTATGGCATCTTTCATTTGAGTGAGACAATGTGCAAACAAAGAGAACAATAAAGGGTGGATAGAAGGGGACAAGTGGATAGATGTCTTGCAATAGGTAAGAGGTTCAAGGGAACAAGGGTAAGGGGTGAAGAGGAGGGGAAGGGGAAAAAGTAGAATAAAATTTGTCATGTGCAGAAGCCTAGAAACCTCAATGAATATAAACACTTTATGCCATAAAATGAGCTAAGATTAATAATATCAACAGGAATAAAAATTGGGTTAAGAGAATTACAGGAGGAGAGGGAAGAAGGGAAGGGAAGAAAAACTAGATGTTTGTGTACCCGCTCCCCAAGATGATTTTCAACTGTATGCAGTGCAATGTACTAATGAAATAAAAAAAAAATCTCCCCTATGCTCAGTAGTCAACATCCCATCATGAACCGCTGCAAACACTGACCTTGTCCTTGTCTCTATTGTTTTGTCTTTTCCAGAATGTCATGTAATTGGCATTATTGTGCAGCTGTTTCAGGGTGGCTTTTTTTCATGTAGAAACATGTAGTTTTCATGTTTTGTATGAGACAAAAGTCTTTTTGTAGCTTGGTAGCTCATTTCTTTTTAACACTGAGTAAAATTTCATTGCATGTATATACAATGTATATATAAAGTTTATTCATTCACATACTAAAGGACATACTGGTTACTTGTAATAGCTGGCGAGTATAAATAGAGCTGTTGTAAATGTTCATACACCAGTTGTACAGACACATTTTCAAATTGATTGGTGAAATGTCTAGCAATGCTGCTGTTTTATCTTCTGCCAAGATTGTGTTTATTTTGTAAAAATTGCCAAACTCTCTTCTATAGTGGTAGTAACTTTTGCCTTCCTACAAGTAGTTCATGAGAAAGTTCCTGCCAGTGGCAATCCACTAAGTCAAACAAGGTAGATAGGCAGCACTATTTTTATTATTTACGTGTAATATATATTTTCCCTACCAATGTTTGCTGCAAAATGTTCTACATCTTATTTTTAAAAATGATTCCTTACCCTGCATCTGAGCCATTTCCACACAGCAAAGGATCTTTTTGTCCATCCAAAACATAAAAATGACCTGTTAATATAAATAATAAACTTTATTTCATATTAATCCTATTCATATTAGGAATAAACCAAAGTTTAATTATTACAGTTCTTTCTAAAGTGTACACCAATAATGTGCATTTGCAAAGGGAGCTTCACATGTGCAGCCTCAATTCTAGTTGTAAACACATTCAGCAACTCTAAGGTTAACATATGTGGCAATACTTACTGTCATCTCCAATGTAATCCTTCCAATTAAATGTGCTCATTGTTACATTAATAAATGTCCCATTTGAATCCATTGTGCCATTAAAATAGGTAGTGGTGTTGGTTTCAAAAGCAGAACTGCTTGGGGGCCATTGCAAACATTTATTCCGCAGGTTGCCCATGAACAGCTGCAACCCAATTAAAGCAAACACGCTCAGACAGAACACAGTCAGGATCATGACATCAGAGAGCTTCTTCACCGACTGGATCAGCGCCCCCACAATGGTCTTTAAGCCTAAAGAGAGAGAACTGCGTATCAGCTAATGAGGAGAGCCCTAAACCAATATTTTTTTCTTCTTAATATTTGCATACTTTCTGCTTTCCAACAAATGATTGCTTGGCTACACAGACGTCAAAGCTTTATGGATAGCCAGATGAACTGTAAATCATATGAAAAGCAAACTTTATGTACAGACTGTGTGCTTTCTGGAGGTTTAAAATGAAAGTTTATACACCTAGGAAGGAAGTATGGTATGGTTTTTATGCACTACCATACACATGTAAAAGATAAAGTGATTGTAATTTTCTGCCCTTTGGAATTTTGTGTTTCATGAGGCTGTTTCCCTCCAAACCACTCTGCACACTTGCCTCCAAGTAGCAGTGATTTCCAGGAGAAAAGAATTTTAAGATAATAGAAATCCCATGCCATATGCATGGCATTCCATAATAATCTTTTCTCCTATATAAAAGATCTATTTTAAAAATAGATCTGCAGCAAATGGTAAAATAGAAATCAGTTTGTAAAGCCATGGTAGCAAAGCTTTATCAGAATGCAAGAGAAAAATTTTACATTGTAAATGAGACAGAAACCAGTTACTTTTTAAATAGATATCTCATGCAATTTTCTGTTAAACTCAGAGGCTGACTTTATATAAGCATAAAATTCCTAAAATTTTAGAAACCGAACTGGCATAGAAATATTTTTGTCATCCTTGTATATGATAAAGAATAATAAAGCAGGCTAATGCTATGATCCTGACCTCAATGGCAGTATTATTATTGCAGTATATTTAAAGTCAGCCTCGGTGTTTAACCTAGCTCTCACCTGGGATGACTGAAATAGTTTTCAGTGCTCGGAGAACTCTGAATGTTCTCAACGCTGAGACATTGCCCAGGTCCACAAACTCTGTCACATATCTGTAATAGGGAGTTCACACACAAACACGATAACACACAAGAAAAGTTGGAGATATAAGGGGCCTACCACCTTACACCACTTTCTTCTTACCTGGAATTACAGAAATAGTTTTCAGAGCTCTCAAGACTCTGAAAGTTCGAAGGGCTGAAACATTGCCTAGGCTTACAAATTCTGTTACATACCTGTAGAATTAAATCAGAGTTACTGATAGTTTTGGCAAAGTTCATACTAAATAATGAATTAATGTTGGATTCGGCACATAGAGCCCCTTCAGTTTAACAAAGTGAAATTGCTATAGACCTCAGGGTGCCATAGGCTGAAAGTTGCCTTTAAAGAAAAAAAATTTGTTGCCTTATTTCAATGTAATTTTCCTAATCTGAATATATTTGTTTGAAAAACTAATCAAAGTACAGTTGTTGTTTCAAAGTTTAGTCAATGAATAACTTCATTTTGATGAGTACAAAGGCTATGGAACATGAAAGTAATTTCAGTTATAGCTCAACTACCAGGTAATTTAGTTTGTAATATGTATTCTAATATGTACTCTCAATATATATGAGGAATGTAGTTGATTTAACTTGTAAGACAGGTCTACATTTAAAATACATTTCAACAACCTAGTTTATGCTACAAATATTTTAATTTCTTTTCATTTGTCAAATTTTAAAAAAGTACTCACGCCATCACAATGACACTGAAATCCAGCCAGTTCCATGGGTCACGAAGGAATGTAAAGTCTTCTAAGCAAAACCCTCTTGCCAATATTTTTATAAGTGACTCAAAGGTATAAATTCCAGTAAATGTGTATCTAGGAAAAAGCATCCAAGCCAAAATTAGCAATTTCACTTGTACTGTTAAAATAGATTTTGAAGTACGACAAATACTGCATTTTTGTTATTTTTTAATTCACTAAAAGTTTGTTCCTTATTTCTATTCACCAAAAAATGTATTAATTTACTTACTGTTATAAGACCAAGTTAAGGGTTAAACTGAAGTGAAAATACATTCTACTGAAAAGAATCTGTTCTAATTAAATTAAGCTTTAGAATAATAGCTTAGTATATTTTATGGATAATCATTAAACTTGCCTCTTTAGAATAGCAGTGTCCAATAGAAATATAATGCAAGACACAGTGTAATATTCTAATTCCTAGTGGCCAAATAAAAGCTAAGATCAAGTAGACTTAGTTCTCATATTATATTTTATTTAAATCATATATCCTGAATATTATTATTTCAGTGATTAAAACTAGCCAGACTGTAAGCTTCAATAACAATAGGTAGCTGCAAACTCTTAAATTGGGCAATACAACTCTAAAAGGTAAAGTAGCTTGGATCCATTTACTTAAGATAAAATATTTCCACTAAAATTTCAAAATGATTAGACTCATGTTTAAGACTATTTTACATGTTGTTTAGGGAATATACTTTCTTTCATTTGGTTCAATAGGTGTCAAGTGTAAAGTTATAAAACTACTCCATCTCTTTCCTCTCTCTCCTTTCTTTCTTTCTCTAATTTATGATTATATATGTAGAAATTATAATTTTATATATAAATACATACTTGATTTTATAAAGATACACATATACAATTACAAGAAATGTTTTAATTCTCTATTATTTTATGCGTATGTCTGCAAAATTACTAAAATTAACAGATAAATAAAATTCTTAAATCTAACCTTGTATCAGCTACTATTTTTATGCAGGGATCAAATAATTTGGACCAAATAGTTTACTTGAATCCAAATTTCAGCCTCCATAATGGTGAAAAATATTTTGGTTTGCTCTAGTGTGGTGTATTGCTAGTCTTTTTTTCCTTTGAGCATTGATGATAAAAGTTACTTCTATTGCAATTTCTTCCAAAGATAGTTGAGAGTTCTTATTTTCAAACCCCTTGTTCTTTAAAAGTCAAATTTACATTTGTTTTTCAGAATATAACCCCCAAACCATAAAGATTTGATTTAATCTTATTATAATTCATTATATTTTCTTGTCTACCAGTATTATACCCATGAAAAATGTTAGGATAGGTATTTCTGAAATGTTTGAACAGAAAGTTCTTTCATAAAAGGAAACAAAAGATTAAACAAAAATGTGTGCAGAAGTCTTCACACCCAATTTTCCTAAGTACAGACCTCTTTTATTTTTCCCACCAAAATCGGTTTCATGAGTGACAAATATTATCACTATTTTTACTTATTATGAAGTACCTCACTGTTAGGAAGAGTTTTATTTTATAAGCCCAAGCTTATGCGCACTTACATTTTAACTTAGATTTTTGTGTGCTGCGAGTAATTGCCATGACATTTCTGTTAGGAGAGATAGCTGGCCTTTAAAAACATCTGTTCATCACATTAGGGCATAAAGCCCTACAGGCTCTGCTCAGGCTATGCTATGTTATCTACAGAGTTACTGAGAGTAAGATTAAAGTCACCACTTCTACTTTTATTTTTGGCAAAACAAAACAAAACAAAACAAAACAAAACATTTATGGGACACTTGGAGTGTATGGTTTTGGTAGCTGTGTATAAAAGAAAGTCTTAGAGCTTAAAATTTAAACAGAGTTTTACACAAATTAGGTCCCCCAAGTACTTATTAGCAAACAGATTGGACAGGTGAGTGGGAAAGAAGAGACTTTCATCTTTGTTGGCTCAGCCCCCATCAACCCCTGATCATGCTGTCCCTGCTGCCCATGTCAAGCTTTTTTGCCATAATTAGGAGTCCCATCTCTAACCTCCATCATTGTCAGACCACACTGCTATGTCACACTTTGCTTCTGATATCAAGGTCTTTTGGTTGCATCTCAGAATTGAATTATCTTCTATTTTCATCAGACTCTTTTTTTTTTCTGGCAACAACCATTCATATTTTGCTTTTTCCCCCCTGCTGCCTAGTTGTCATGTTTCAAGAAATAATTGTTCAGAACATTTGTGCAAAGTTTTCTAACTGAAAGATGTAAATCAAGAACTTGTAAAGCCAAGTCTGTTTTCATAATGTGTATAACTTTCTAAGTTAACATTGTTCCTTTAAAAGGAGAGTCCCAAATTCAAATATACCTTTACCTATCTTCCATAATTACTGCTGGGGAAAACATACACAGAATTGTTTTATGTGGGTATGTCCACTTTGTTAACAGCAAAATCATGGGTGTAACTGATACAAGCACAAATTGCCTGTTCCAGAGTAAAAAATGGCTTCTTCATTATGATGACTTAAGAAAGTATTTTAGAAAATACTCTTTAAAACATCTTCAGCTAACATGTTATGTCACTAGCAATGGCTTACAAGGGTGCCATCAGCTCTCACAGAAACCTATAAAATGCATAGAAATAAGAAGTGGCAGTGTCTGTTATATCTCAGCTCTATTGGGCATTACTTTAAAAATATGAGAGTAAACCTGAACATGTGGGTATACACCTGTAATCCCAGAATTTGGGAGGCTGAGGCAAGACAATCGTGAGTTCAAGTCCTGACTAAGCAAATTAAGTAGATTCTGTCCCAGATTAAAAAGGGCTGAGGACGTAGGTCAGTGGTACAATGCCCTTGGTTGAAACTCCAGTATCAATATATATGTATAGATTCTTTCACTAAACCAATCAAACACTTGGTCATGGTATTGAACTATTTCTACATGACTCAAACACTTTCTGTTTCACTGCAAAACGCATATCTTTCATACAAATAACCTCATATGTGCCTGGCAAGGGAATATTGATTGATATAGAAATTGTGTTAGTTCATGCACAGTTTTCCCAGCATATAATACTTTGAAACAAAGAAGATTTTATTATTACACTTAATTTAATTGAGCAAAATTTTAATGCAGGAAACCAGTAGAAATGTTTTCTTTTAGTGCAAACGAAGGGTTGAAATCCTCAAGAATCTCTGTGCTTAGATTTTCTCCCTGTCTTAAAACGCATAATCAAATATTTTCTTTTGGTGATATCAAATGCCTCTGAGTTCCTATGTCAAGGGGAAAAGGATGAAGAAGATTAGTTTTTAAAGCATTTAAGGACTCGATGGCTGTGACTTTTTTTTAGGTTTACATATTGTAAGAATAACTGCGTAAGTATCTTTTTATTGAGATCATTATTTTGTTTAATGAGTACTCTAGTTACGAAGTTGCATAAGTTTTGAGTGATGCACCCTAAACATGTCTTGCCTGAAGCCCTGTTATTTTTGGAGGACAGATTTTCAGAAGACATTTTATTTCCTTTACAGAGCACATAATCTCCTGGGTTTTAGCTCACATCCTATGTCTAAATAACCTACACCCTGAAATTGTTACTTAGTTTAAACAATTAAAAAATAACCATATTGTAATCAAAAAGTCTGATATAATAATATAGAGGTATCAGTTGATTTATTGAATATAGCTATTCTTTCTGGGGTGAGATGGAATCTCAGTGCTGTTGTAATTTGCATTTTTTGAATGACCAATGTAACAAATGCTGGCAGAGCTGTGGGGAAGGTGAAACCCTTCTCCATCATTGGTGGGAGTGTAGACTGGTAAAACCACTGTAGAAATCAGTGTGGAGATCCTCAGAAAACTAGGATTAGAGGTCTCATTCAACCCAGCTATTCCCCTTCTGGCTATTTTTCCAGAAGAAATGAAAACATCATCCCACAACAATATATGTTCATCCATGTTTATAGCAGCACAAGTTGTAATAGCTAAATCTTGGAAACACCTCAAATGCCCATCAACTAAGGATTGGATAAAAAAAGATGTGGTATTTTTATACAGTGAAGTACTACTCAGCTATAAAGAAAGATAAACTCGAGGCCTTTATAGGTAAATGGATGCAACTTGAGACCATAACGCATAAGTAAAATAAGAGATTCACATGTGTAAACTTTGTATTGTCTCCCTAGTGTAAGAAACTGAAAGAGTAAATAAGATCCAAAAGGTATGATAGATATAGTGAAAGGGAAAGAAACTGTTCAAAAGGACAGAACAACTGGGATGAGAGAAAAAGGAAAAGAAGGAAGGGAAAAAATAAGATATGTATATATACACAATATAGCTAAGATAATTGTACTAGTAATTTCTATTAGTTAATTGAAAGGAACAGTTAGTGCTTTTATTGTTTGATCAATTTTGCATGCCTGTATCTGGTAATCTGAGCAACTACTTTGAAGATAACAATATGCAATATAGTAATCATTGTTATCACTTTTTTTTTTTTTTCTGGTACTGGGAATCAAACTCATGACCTTGTGCTTGCCAGGCAAGTGCTGTGCTGCTGAGCTAAATCCCCAGCCCCTAGTAATCACTGTTAATTTGCTATCATCTTGCTTTGAAATTTTGCAATATTTTCATTGTTTTTTTCTCTCTTTAAAATAAAAAATAATATAGAGCTAAACACATATCTGGTTAACCAGAAGACAACACTAACAATAAAATATTAAAGTAAAATAATTTACTCCACCAGCATTTGTGATCTTTGTATTACTATATCTAGAATGCACAAGTGTGACTGAGTCATCACTTTCAGGCCCAGTGATGGGTTTCGTTCACCAGTAAGCATCTGCTAATTCATAATTTCTCTTAAACAGATACCATTGCGAATTGGTTTCAAAAGTACTTACCTCATAGAAAAAAATAACTCCCCCAAACAATTTCCCTTATAGTCTGTAATATTATGGAAATAACTTTTCTTAGGTAGAAGTATTTAGCTTGATTTCAGAAACTGGAAACTATAGGGAGACACAATTACAAAGACACCGCCAGAGAATGAGTGCATTTATACTCATTAATACTCCAAGAAGTATTCCTACTTACTCGACATTCTTTGTCCAATCTGGAGGGTTACTCAAGGTCATAAATACACAGTTGGTCAAAATAGTGCACATGATAAGCATGCTGAATAAAGTAGATTACAGTTAAGGAATAAACATTAGTTTGTTGTAATGGCCATTTAAAGCATTCCAATATAAAAAAGCAATTAATCAACATAGGACAACTATGAATTTAATCTTCCTCATTTGTATTAAAACAATGATTTAAAAAAGATACTTCAAAGCCTGTCGTATGATCTAGTCTACTTTTTCACATCATTTATTCATAAAACTTAATTTAACAAGCATCTATATGAAGCAAGTGGGGATTATTTTACACCCCATTTCATGTAGTGAAGCTCCACTACCATTCTTTAAGTTTATAATATGACAAAAGCAGCTATTTGCACTTCAGGTATAACTCTCCACTGACTAATGAATGCAATATATAAAGCCTGAGAATATATAAACCAGTACATTAAAGGGTCAAATTGACTCGGAACTCTAGTAAAAAGAGGTGCTCAAGTAACCTGCTAGTGATGTAACTCATTTCTCTATAGTTTGCAACATAGTAAAGGAGGAACAACTTCATGCTGATAAGGTAATATTATTTTCAAATTTTCTATTTTTACTTTATAATGAGGAGGGACCCACCAGGGCATCTACCTAACCTCGTGTACCTAGTCTACACCGTACCACACCAGAGAAGCACTACTCTAAAGTACTCCTGAGAATTACAATTCCTTTCTCTTGTATAACAAAACAGATTTCACTCTATGAAAGTTTAGAATTATTTTGAGGTAAATATTTTTAAACATAAATACTTTCCAATATCAAGTCATAGGATGAGAGAATTGAAACACACTTCATAAAGATATCCAGCGAATTTGCTGTGTCTCCAGGAAAATCGGTTTTTCTTTAGTTTGCACATATGCCTGCTTTGAATTTGTCTATATAGAGTAGACATTCTTGAACACTGCCTTATAATCAACTTTTTGTTTGATCATTACTTAATATTTTATTGAAGTTAACATGAATTCTTCCCTTTCACATATACTTTCTGATTGATATTATAAATGTGTGTGTGTGTTGAGGATTCACGGTTTTAAGCATGCCAGACGGCTGCTGTGCCACTGAACTACACACCAGCCCACAAATAATTTTAAATTTAACAACTTTTTATTATATTTCAACTAGGCAAAAGGTCTAAAGTAGACAGTTAATAAATATTTAAGAAGGAAGGAAGGATAGACTGGGGGCTAAATAGAGACAAGATAAAATGGTCAACATTTGGCAATCCAGATAAGAGCACTGACTGCAGTGGAGTCCTTCTTTACAAGTAGTTATATATGACTTGATTGAGGCTAATGGAAGTGTGAAGGAAATTCGTTCCTGCTCCTACTGCATGATGCTCATTTGTACATTCATTATCATGGTTTTGCACTTACTTCTACTATCAATAATAAAGCTATAACAATCTTGCTACCGCATCAACAGCACAAAACTGATAGGAATATTAGTTAAACTAATAATGTTACCAGTAATTTCAAAAGCTGCACAAATATCTAAAAGTGAGAATAACATCTCCTTTAAAATCAAGCTTCAAATAGCATTTAGACAGTTCACATAAAAAGGATATGAGTGTACTAAAATCTTAATAGCAATTTTCCTAACAGGGTTTAGCGGAGTTAAAATGTACAAGGCAGAGGTGGCACTGAATCGGAAAATTGCCTTCCCTTTATTCAATACTATAAAAGTCTGAAAGAGAAAATATGAGAAAAAAATCACTGAGTTAGACATGTAGCTTATTTGAAGAGTCTAACAATAGTTTAACACACCTTTTTAAAACCTCATTTATTTGTTCAAATTTGTTTCTTTAAACCAGTTATAAAAAAATAAGGTAGTACAGTGCAAACATGTTAGATGTATGCTATAAATACACTAGGTATTTCTCCCCTAAATTAACATACAGTTGCAAGTAAAAATTCAACTTACTATTATCTAATCTGTCTCCAAGACTCTAACTTGCTGATACAAACTGATATCCTACACAAAGATTTTTGCTAAATTATACTGCAGCTTTACAGATTTCGATTCTATTTAAAGCTTACCATCTGTCTTCAGCTTCGGTAACTTCAGCTTCGGTATTCAGTACACATTGCTGTTAAAATAACCCTTTACAAATATTTTAATTATATCAAATATTTTAACTGCAAAGTTTGTAATGGCTTGCTATGGTCTCTAAAGTAGCTCTCACTACTTAAAACTATTCAAGTAGGTTGAATTACCTTGTTTCATGGATTCTATAGGTCCTGTGAGCAAGGATCAGCTTCTCAGCTAATACTGAGAAGAGACATCTGTGTTGAAAATCAGCCTGAAATACATCACTTGAAAGAATCTTCCGTGGCTAAATTTCTATCATCTGAAATGCTTCATGATCAGCTTAGCACTTCAGCTACGCTGCCCAGGGATCACCTACCGCATCCCTCTAGAATTGTCTTATTTTTTCCCACCAAAGTCATCTCTGCTCCCCCCAGTTTATCCGTCTTGTCAATCCCACTCACAAATGTCAAGCTCTCCATCTGACCCTGTAAACGTGTCACGGATCCTTAGAGAAAGGCAGTACCAAGGAAGTCATCATGTGCAAACTCCTTGCCTTTTCAGGAGGATGTCTCCAGAATGGACATGAAAATAAGGTCCAGCCTACAGTGACCCACTATTTATCAGAGGTTCTTATAACACCTTGTATACTAGAATGTTCCGTGGAGATTTTTAAATTGCTAATTTAAGTCCCACCTCAGACCAACTGAATCAAAATTTTTGGAGGATGATATAGGTTTGAGTATTTTAAAAAAATTTTTCTCAGGTGATTGTATTGTGCTTTTTAAAAACTTCCTCAGGTGATCCTATTGTGAAGTCAGGGTTTAAACCCTGCTTGCTAGAGATGTTCTCAACTGTCAAAATGATCTCCTGCCTTGCATATTTTTGCTGTCCTCTGATCAGTCCTCCCTAATTATTTCCTTACCAGTGACCCTTAATATGTTCATTTGCACTCTTTTACATGTTGCTTGTAATCAGTCAAGTAGCAATTTCCATGTAGTATTCATTCCAAGCAGGACTGGGTTAGATGTTATAAACCACTGGCCACAGAGAGCCTGTAATCTACTTCTTCATTTTTCCCACAGTATTTAATAGGGTAGTTTGCAAAGAAACACTTGTTTTAATAAAATATTGGTTTGCCATTAAGATGCTGTTCACATTTACAGCATCTATTCTATATACTGACTTATTCAAAAATATGTTTTTACTCTTTAACTAAGGGCAGTATCCCATACATTCATGTTCACTGACAACCTGTTCTGTTTGAAGAGGTAGGCAGAAATATTTATATTGTGAGTATAAAGGTCAGGGAAGACAAATGTTCTGTTTATCACCCTTTTGTATTTAAGACCACAGAGCCAGCTATTACCCAACTAATCATATTCAATAAACTGCACTGGATAAGTAAGAGTAAGAGGCTAAGTGAGCTACCTGTTTCTAATAGAAGGATTATCTGCAAGGGGCAGTAGACCTTGGGAAGACTGCCCTGGAAGCACAGAAGAATTAAAAGCTTTTCTTGACTCATGGGATTGGATCATTTAATATTATAGTCAAACAATGAAGACACACTTATGCACTCAACAGCAGTAGTAACATGCAAAACTTCATTATAATTTAAGGTACCTTAACTCATGCTTTTGTGGAACCAGTTTCCCTGAAAAATAAGTTTTGCAATATTAGGGGGGAATTTTATTTTGAAATATCTCCAAAAACACAGTGAGTGGGAAGCAATGGTCCTTTTAAACATGGGGCACTGTGCCCCTCCTGCAAGATTAGCCTGAGCAGAAGTACTGAAATTGAGGTGCACACCCTAAGATTGTCTTCATGACTTCACAGGTTCTAAGACAGGGAAGCCTAAAGGACAAAGTGCCAGTTTGTTTCTAGAAAATAACATCTGACACAAAGAAAATTCTGTTATGAGAAATGTGGAAAAAAATACCCATGTCTTGTATAGTGAAAGAATTGCAAGAAAGGTGTTAGAAATTTGGGGCTCTGATATTATTGATGATGTTCCTAACCAAAAATTGAGAACATGATAGATAATTAGGTGGTGGATGAATAGTGCCAATTCTAAAGTCAGCCTTCTAAGTAATGTTGTGTCTTTAAAAATTAAGACATGTTTCTACTAACATAATAAATACTATAGCTGAAAACATGTTGAATCAGAAATTTTTTTACTCTGGAATGCTATTTATTTCTTTTCCTCAGCCAAATGCACATCTTAGGAGTTTGCTAAAAATTTTGCCACTTTGAAGTAAGAGTAAGTTTTACATGTCAATGTGTAGAAGCATATATATCACAGAATTAAAAAAAGATACAACTAAATTGTAAGTCCTAGGGGCTGGGGATTTAGCTCAGTGGCAAAAAGCGCCTGCCTGGCAAGCGCAAGGTCGTGAGTTCGGTTCCCGGTACCAGAGAAAAACCAAAAAAAAAAAAAAAAATTGTAAGTCCTTTGTTATATTAATTCACACTATATGTAATTTCACTTGTTGATTAAGAACTCTGACTCTGGAGCTGAATTGTTTAGGCTCAGTTCCTGAATCCACCACTTGTGGAGTGAGACCCTGCTAATTTCATCAACCTTTCTCAGCTCCCATACATAAACGGAGGCTAACAATAGTAATTGCCTCACTAGTTCACTGAATATTGAACAAGCTAAAGCACTCAAGTGGTGTCCAACACAGTATGAGTACAGCAGATGTTAGCTATTATTATCACTGGCACTATTTTTAAACTATTACCCTAGTCTATTGTCATTATTTTGAAGTCATTTTTCTAGTCAACCTAAAAGTCATTAAGATGTGTTGTGATGTTACCTATCTGGTTAAATTAGCTACTAAAATCTACCACCAATTTAATGGCAACAGTTACATTATTACGCTGTACAGTATGTATGTATGTATGTATGTATTTATTTATTTAGGGTTTCACTAAGTAGCCCAGGCTGTCCGTGAACTAGCTCCATAACCCAGGATGGCTATGAATTTGCAATTCTCCTGCCTTCCAGGCCAGGGATCATAGGTACCACACCTGACTAAACTCGGCATTTTTAAGATGCCTTTTACCCATATTATTTCATACAATTAACATAGACTCATGCCATGTTTTAAAATTCTAGGACTTCTTCCAAAACTCCTGAAAATCACAGACTACTCATGTAGTGTCTTGATATTCCCCATATAAATACTTCATGAATTAAAATACTGCAGCTAGCTAACAGCCTCTCAAGATGGTTCACACAACTGTGAATAAATCATGGTCCAAGTTTGGTACTCATTCCTGGAGATGATAAAAATGGACTATGCCAGCAGCACGCAGTGGAAGACTCACATTAACTGAACTTAAAAGCCTGGCACAGAAAATCAGACACCAATCTATTTATAATAGGAAATAATATTTTCACATATTGTAGATGAAATAATTCCAAAGGAATAATTAACATATACTTTTCATTTAGTAGATTGATGGGCGAAGAAATTATAAGTAGAAGCTTCCTTGTTATACATACAGTCCCAACCAGCTCTTAACTAAATGTTACAGAATGTTTATTGTCATGTTAGGCAGCTGTGATAGTCCCTTTACAATGACTTGGCCAAGCCTTTGGGAGGAAAACACCATTTTCAGTCCTACTTCTAAAGATCTGTCTCCATTGCATTATGCTTAGCTCTGTTATTCTCCTTTTCTTTCCAAAATCATACCAACTGGTTCAATTCCTTTTCTTTAAGTAGTAAATGCTTTTAATTATGTCATAGTAAATCATGCCCCTCTCCTTTTGAAGACATTTCCAAACATAAATATTGTAGATCAATGATTCTCAGAGGAGAATGCCCCTCTAGTTTCCTAGGGTATGTCTCATTATAATAGTCATCTATAATAATAGAATAGCTAAATTTCAAAACTATTTATTCTGTAGTATAGGACTGAAATAAATTTTATTTGTAAGTACATGAATATTTATTTAGTGCAAATGTTTTGAAACTAGTTTAAAAGGAATAAAAGGAACCTGTTTAACTGTTTCAATTTGCTTTTATTACTTCAAGTAAGTAAAATATTTCAAGGATCGCTACTCAAAGTGTGGCTGACATTCTACCTGTATCATGATAGATATCATCTAATGTTCATTGTAAGAAATTCAGGCTCTCTTGGGCTGCATGGGTCAGGGTGGTACAAGTCTATAATCCCAGTAACTTGAAAGGCTGAGGCAAAAGGATAGCAAGTTAGACATGGGAGAACTTAGCGAGACCCTGTCACAAAATAAAATTTTAAAGGGACCTGGAGATATAGTTCAGTGGTAGAGCACTTCTGAATTTCATCTCCAATACTGCAAAGAGGAAAAAAAAAAATAACAAACCTGGTCCCAACCCAGGCCAGTACAATCAGAATCAGCATTTTAATAGTATCCTCAGGTGATACGTTCAGGCAAGTCTGAGGAGTATTCCTTTAAAGCAAGAGGAGGGGTCTTATCCTGAGTGATTAGTGTCATTTCCTTTAGCTAGCACCTATAACTTCAAACTGTGCATTCTTTGAGTGCAATTTCTTCAACCATTGCCTTCTTAAACAGTTTGCTTTGACTAATTAAGGTGTTCATATCTTCTTTAATCCAAAGCCATCAACTCATAGTGATAGTAATTTATCTTTGTTTTTATATTGAGCTGCCTTTAATGCTGATGAAGGAAGAACATAAACTGTGGTAATAAAATGCCCAAATAGTCAGTTAGAAAGCATTGCATCTTCACCCATCTTGTTTAACTATAGAAATTGGTTAATTCTAAGAGAGCAAGGTGGTTATTCTAACATTAGGAAAATACAGTTATAACTGTTGCTTTGAACCATGTATGGATTGAGAACAATTCAAAGTGTTTTTGTTTTGTTCTGGTTTGTTTGTTTTAAAAACATTCTAATCTTGACACTTTTTTTTCTCCCTCAGAATAATGTGTTAATCATATGTAGTTTTCTCAGAATCTAGCCTGCCATAATGTCAGTAAGGCTAAGAGACACTCATGATCATATTACAGATTAGTGGAAAGAAAGCAAAATGTATTTCTAATTGAACACGCTTCCACACGTACTATCTATGTACAGTAGGTGCTGAGTCAAAGATTATTTATTGACCTCTGTAAAGCAGATGATTGTGAAGAAAGTCCAAGCCAAATAAGAAATATAAAAGCAAGAAGTACAACATCTGTTCCTAATATTGTTGCATTAAATTTGAAATTTTTGCATAGCTACTATCTGGGTGTCTATCATGTGCTAAATAGCAGGTAATTAGCTTTATTGATGTTAATTTTAGGTTTTGTTATATCAATTACTGTGAAATAGAAATTGTTAATTTCTTCATATTTCCTCACTATAACAAATTCTTCATATCTCATAAATGTTTTAGTTTACTATACTTTATATAAAAGTAAGTGACAGTAAAGAGTATTACAAAATATTCCATAGGGGAAAGTTATAGCAATATGTATATATTTATATATCTATTTATAGATATGTATAGAGTGAGACCTCTGCTTCGAACTCTGTTCCAAATTCATGTTTAAGCTAACACTATATATATCTATTTATAGATATGCATAGAGTGAGACCTCTGCTGTCGAACTCTGTTCCAAATTCATGTTTAAGCTAACACACTAAAATGTTTGAGAATTGAACTTGTTTTTCCCATAAGAAATAATGGAAAACTGAATAACTGGTTCTGAGGCCCCCAAATTATACTTACAAATTCATTTTTTCAGAACTTTAACAAACTTTACAATGACTTCTTTAAATCTATAATGGTTCTCACAGTTTTCCTCGTAGCTTGACGCTTGGTATCATTAACTTTCTTTGGAGCCATGGTTACAATATTTTACACAAATAAAGCACAAAGAAGGCACAGTAATGAATGTTTAAAGGCACTGACACAAGCACCTTATCCTATCTGGGCGAGAGCAGTACTTAGACTGAAGAGCCGCCATTTTGTGACATGTGACTCACTCGTGGCGCTTACAGGTTTTCTCAAGTTAGATTTCTGTTTGACTCTCCAGAAAAGAACACATAGCAGTTCTTTTTTTTGAACTTTGCTGTTGAAGGAGTGGACATTTCAAACTTGGAGCTGTTCAACACTGAGATACCACTGTACAACACTGTATTAATCTATCAGAAAAATATATTAAAGTTAGTTGTTTAGTTGAAGACTTATTGGAGGTGTAAAGTCAACACTCACTTTCTTGTTGATATAGTAGGGGTCCAGGTCCTCCAGGGGCTCTGACACCATCTCTGGAGGAACGTCTCCATAAATAAATGGAAGGTTCTTTCCAGCTTCCAAGTCACTGTTTGGCTTTGGTTTGTTCTCATCATCATTGTCTTGTTCTTTTTTGGGTTTCTTGGCTTTCTCTTCTGCAGCACGTTTTTCGATAGCAGCAAGAGATTCTCTAGTAAAAAGGCGGAAGCTTTCAGGTCCTGGGGGTACCAGCAGTGCCTGTGCCATCTTTTCATCCTGTACATTTAATTACGTTTAGCTTCTTGCATAAGAATTATCTACAGTGAATGAAAAAAATGCATACGAGTGAGGAAGGCAAGTGACAGAAAGAGAATAAGAAAACTCATCAGGATGCCATTTAATTGTCTTTAGTAATTTTTAAAGGTATGACTGTGAAGTTATGCTTTCCTAGCTTTTAATTCAGAAACATTATCATTTGATCTCATTTTCAATAATTCTTTAAAAATCTACCAAAGGTTTGTTCTGAGTGATAAATTGCTTGATTTAGCCATTTTACAAGGTATTTACATATTAAAATATTGCATTGTATGCCATAAATATATGGAATAGTATTAGTCAATTAAAAAATAAAATGTTAACAATAGTCTGCTCTGAAACCTTTGAGCCAAAATGTATTATAGTATACTTTCTGTGAAAGAGTAATGCTAATACTACTTATCAGCAAAACTGGGTAAGTGGCCATTATTCCCCTCTCCCTTCCTTTTCCTAACTTAACCAACTCCTCAAATAATGAAGTGCTCTTAACAATGAAATTATTGTGACACATTCCTGACTCAAAAATCGCAGGCTAGAAAAGGAACTTTTGCCTAACACAATCAGTTCTGGCTGTCAGTATCATTAATTGCAGCACCAGAAAAGGTCTCAACACCAGCAAAAACAAGGAAGCCACTGCCTCTAGAAAAATTGGCCCATCTTTGGGTAAGATTTCCATTTTCTTATTAAGCCACATCTTTCCCTTTTAACTTTTTGTCTTGGAACCTTTTGAGGTACCTTCTGAGACAATGCGGAACATGTTTATTTCCTCTGCTGGTTTGCTGTCCTTCAAGTATTCCATGACAATTTCTAATATTCTTCATGAACCTTCCCATTGGAGTAGTGGTGACAGATTGTGTGATTAGATTTCCTCTGCCCTAAACCCTGGCTCTGCCACTTACAAGATGTGTGACCTTGGAAAATATAACCTCACATTGTTACAGTCTTTATGAAATGGGAATCACAGGAAAATTGACCTCTCAGGATTATAAAAAGTAAATGAGCTAATTGATGTTGTGTCTAGGATAGTTGTGGAATTAATAATGACTATATTAATGTCAACTATCATAATCAAATTATCTTCAGTTCTGCCAGCCATGATCCTTCTGCTATGGTTTCAAGTATCCTGTAATTCAAACTATTCTCCTTTAAGCAAAATCTTGCTGTGCTGCAACCTTAACTGATCTTGAAACTTCAGGAAGGCAGTGAGAGGTATAAAATATCAGGGCAAATTTATGCAAAACTGTTACCTGGATGGGAAGGGAAAGACTGAAGGTAGACAGATAGAGGGCCCCTACTCAATTTCCCAGGTAAGGGAAAACCTTTTATCTGCAGGAAATGTGACAAAACTATCAAAAATACAGGAAATCAGATGCATGAATGTTGAGCACCAGTTATTGCATTTTCATTGTGCCAAAACCACATTTTAAAAATCAAGATAGAAAATAGAAACAATGAGAACAACAAACTATGAGTATATTAATCATTCTGTAAAAGCATCTATAACTATGGCATCCAAGTGACATTTTTTCCATCCACAGCTACACCTCCTTCAGCCCCTAATTTATTCTAGTCTCCACAGTGATTTATCCCCAAGAAGTCTTGTAGTTCTTGGCAGTTTCCTAGATGGCTATCCTGAGCTTACATATGAGAAATTCTGGATCTTTCAGTAATATGAGAAAAAGAGTATAGTTTATTATGTGCTTCTTGGATTTATACCTGAGTTACTAGTTCTCTGATGTGTTCCAATGACAAAAGTGTTTTTAATATTAGTTGTTTTCAAATTAGTATTTATAGCATTGTTGTATTATAGTATCAGGCCTGTCAAATAGTTACACAATTTTTCCTATCCATTTTTAAAAAGAACTCATGTTTTATGAGTCTGGGTTTAAAAAAAACGCTTTTTCTCTTTATTAAGTAACACATGAATTAACAACTTGCATGTAATCCTAATTTACTTGAAAAGTAATTATTCTTTGCTTTCTACATTTATGGCAGGCAGCTTAAAATTGAACTAATGTCCACAGTCATCTCATGTCAATTTTGATGGCCATATGGACAGTCTGACTCTGGGTTATGGAGCTTTGAGTGCAGAATGAGCTGAAGCATTTTCTGCAAGCCTCAAATACCCAGAGACAAGTGAGGCACCTGTCTCACATCACCTGTCATGAACTGAATTGCTGGGGTTCTTCCCAAGTGCTAAATGAAGAAGCAACAGCATGGCAAACATGTCTTATGAAAACACCCCGAAACATGGCTGCTTTTTAGGGGTGAAGAGAGGTTATGTCTGCATTTGAACATTTAGTTTACTTTACCTTGTTTTCTTTATTAACTAACAGTGAGATGAAAAACATGCTGCGATTGGAATGGAAAATCTGGGTTAGAACAGAATCTGCCACCAAGAGCTTCCCCGTGTCATTTAACCTCGCACAACCTCAGCTTCTTCAAACTATTTCATCATGCAGGCAAGAAGACTTTGCTATAGAGGCTTCTGGTCCGTAAGTTTTCAAAATAAAATTAAATTTAAAATATCAAATATGGAAATCTCTTAGCAATATTCCCAGATTATTGCGATTTCTCTAAAAGGATGTGGACATATGTAGCCACAAAACTATAAACATTTATGTGCAAAGAAATGAACATTCACCTTCTTGTTCATTTATGAAGGGTCAGAGTAAAGAATTTGGTTCTTGATAAAAAGGAAGTAAAACGTCTCTGGAATTCTCATATTGTATCTCGAACTCCAGAGAAGATATGTCAGTTTCAGACTCTCAGGTGTTCTTTATGAGGGCAATTAGGGCTTGTTCAATATTTGGATAAACTGAGAATTTAAAGAATTCAGTGAGCAGAGTTTCTCATAGTTTCACCAACAGCACTGTGGTGCAGAAATCTCCCGTAATTCTTTGGAACATTTCTTTTCATTTTTATTCTTTCTTGTTCTTGATGAAATTATTATACAGAGTTCTTACATAATTTTATATTCATATTAAGCAGACTTAAAAATTAATTCTTACTGATGCATTGGTAGTGAGACATATATTATTGATGAATTTATGTACATTATAATTTATTAAAATACATTGGATTTAGTATTGTAAGTTTTGACCAGAACTATCTTTTCAAGAACAAAAGCTAAAGGCAGAAAAATCCGAGGAGATATTCCTTCTGATTAGAATCTAAAGAGCCTGGGTATGTGAATGTGTGAGGAAAGAAAATGCAATCTTTTTTTAATAAGTAAGAAGACTGGTTCAGTGCAGCCCGTTATAAGAACAGACCACAGCATTTCAAACCCAGAAGGGACCTGAAGATCATTTATTTGGGAAATATTTATTGAGATTCTATGTATGAATAACTTTGCTTAGCCCAGCACTGGAGCTCTTTTTTCTCAAGGAGCTGACAGTCTAATTGGAGAGACATTTGTTTATACAGATAATTATAAAGCAATTATATGCAACTGGTGATTATTGGGCCCATGGAAGGGCACAAGGGATGTGATTCCAGAAGTTTCCCTGAGGAAGTGATGCTGGAGTAGTTTCTGTAGACTAAATGAGTTTGAGAGGGGGGTGTGGGTAGTGTTAGTTGGGGAAGGGATGGAAGATATATCATAAGACACATGCTGAGCAGGAGGCATCACGTATTTGGGCCCAGAGACAAGAAAGAGAATGGAGAGTTTGGGAAGAGCTGCAAACAGTTTTTGTGGTGGACACCGCCCTGCACAAAGGGAGTGGTACAAAGCAGGATTAGGAAGTTAGGTGGGATAGATCACCAAGGTTCTTGTACATCACACTGTGGAAGGGCAGGGATGAAAAGTGATCAACTTGAAGGTTAGAAAGAAAGATGGTGGCAGAATGAAGGATGGATAGGAAAGAAATGATCCTAGAGCAATGGTTTCCAAATGCTTTGGTTTCAGGATTCTTTTACACTCACAGAATGATCCGTTAAGGCAAAGAAAAGTAATTTCCTCTAAGTAATTGTGAAAGTTATTGGATTCTATCAAGACTCTGCAAATTATAGTTTATTAAAATAGTTTTAATGAGGAATCTGAAACCACATCCAAAAAGCTTTGATCAGTTTTGCCGTTGAATGCATCTTTTAACTAATCGTACCTGATTCTATACCATCATACAGGGATCATTGGAAAATATCATATTGTTATGCAAATGTTCACACTTCTGACAAATTTTACTGTGTAAGATGCAAAAATCACATTTGTTAATGTCATCGGTGATGCCATGAAAATGTACTGGGAGGCTGTCAAGCTCTCCGTGGCAGGTGAAAGTTTTCCAGAATTCCAATTTCTACTTGAAAGCTCCAATTTTTAACACTCACAACAAATGCTGTCATTTGCTTTTCCTGAAATGACAAGGTTTTCCTTTGTTCACTTTTGAAAATATATGTGCCAAATACTAAAGTCTGAATAACCATAGTTTGTCAGTTATTTTTCAAGTGAAAATGGTGTTCTACGAAAAAAAAGTGACTTACTCACTCCTGACTCCAGTAGCTGCACAAATGCTTTGACTAGAGACAATGGTGCTTCAGAGTGCAGCAGAAATTCTTCATGTATTCTTCCCATTTCATTGTATAAAATACTAAAATGCGTGTCTGTAGGGTTGAGGTTTAACAAAATTATTCTTTACTGCCTTACTAGAGATTTCTTACAGTTATTTTTTTACTGAAACATATGCTGATGAAGAAGAGAAAAACTACTCCTACAGTTTGAGGCTGCTCCCTTGATTCCTACTAAGGCACTGAATATTTCACCCCCATTTTGCACTATCACTGCAAATGTCAAAAGAATGAGAAGAGGCAAATGGCACTTTGATATTAGTATGGAAGCAGTGTAACACTCACAGCTGCTTGTCAAGAGAGGTTGCAGGGCATCAGTTGTCCAAGATCCACAATAGGTGCTGGACAGGAAGCAGTTAGCACATAAGAGGATCTAGCTACAGCTCCAGGATTCATAGGTGTGGACTTAGCAATTGCACCTGGACTCAAGCCTGGTTTGCTACACTTTATGAGTGTCTTCATCCTTCATAGTCTTCAGTTTCCCCCATTCGGTAATGGAGAGAGTCATGTGGATACTAGTACATACTTCACAAGGTGAATGTAACATTTAAATAAGCAAATGCACCTAAAACGTGAGCATAATGCCTGGAAGACAGAAGGCCATCAATAAACTAGGAAGGAAAACTATGGCCAAATGAATATACTAGAGGCATAATTGTGATAGACAGAAAATCAATGATGGTGTGTGGTTGACTTGTTACAAAGAATGAGAAAGAGTTACAGTGGTAATGCCATTATCAGGCTTTCAGGTTAAACCCTGAGCTGACAGTTACTCATTGGAGAAGTGGAGGTTTGTAAGGGTTTATAATAAATTCTGTTTGGACTGTTCTGTTAATAATGCCTAGGGGGCATCTGGCATGTAATTAAAATGTGTGGCTGAGACTAGGAAAACCATCTGAGCTGGAGAAATGTTGAATAATGGGTCATGGGGTGAAGGACAGGCGAAGAATCCATATGACATCATCTAGGAGAAAGGTGGAAAGGTAGCAAGGCAGAACATACATGGTTTCTGGTTTTAAGGAGAGGGAACATAAGGATATTAGTAAATTAAATCAGAATAGTTACCTGGACACTGATAGAGGAATTTTCAAAATGTTAATTAAAAGGCATACATTGGGTTTGATAACCTGTCGAGCTCTTTGCCTTTTTAAAAAAATGATAACTGGCCTAAAAAGCTAAATAATTTCCACTGAAATATCCACTGATGAACACAAATTGGTGGTTTAAGGCAAAGCATTTTCTGCACATTCTATTCTTCATTAACCTTTTCCTATAACTGATGCTTTTGATAAATCTTACCAGTGTATGGTTTGATTTTAAAGACCAAAACTGTATATAAATAACTGCAGAGAAATAGATTTGTATAGTTCAATTTGTTTTTCCAGGTTCATTCTGATATGATGCTTTCACATGCTACTAAAAGTATATGAAACAGCCCAATACAGTGAACACAAGCACTAATACGTGTCAATAAATCAGACTCCAAGGAAAACTGGCACAGCAATCATTGGAGACAAGCTGTCCCATTACCAAGGCAAAATATATTATTTTTTTCCATTAGTCATGTGGCACATAAGTTTTCATCTTGCCTGCTTTTCCAGGGTAGTGGACAATTTGATAAATGTTATTGCTCTGTGGCCAGTTAGTAGTCTCCCTCTGCCCCCTCCCCAGTTTTTATGATTGTGCGGCAGACAAAATCGATTGGCTCTAGTCTGTTCCCATGGAAACCTTTTCATGTCAGAAAGCTATAAATTTTCTATCTTCAAGGATAGAAAGTTGCTCTATTTCAAATAACTTGAGATAGCATAAATTCAGAGTATATTTTCATGTCTTTGATAATAAGAGAGTTGTCAGGAAGGATGGGTATATTGCAAAAAAAGATGGTATTTTCTTGGTATCAACAAAAGAGAAAAAAAAGAAAAAAGTGAGAGACTAATATAGAAAGGGCATACTCTAACAGACAAGATATACCAATGAACTACCTTCTCACTGAAGAAAATTATTTAGTTTTTTCCAATTCAATTTTCATTTAGAATTAATAATTGTATAGTAATTATAATATATTCTCGGCACACATGAGAACAGCATAAATTTTATTAAAGCATATGTACAGCCCTTGGAATATTGTAATGATAATCACTGGGCACCTCCCAAGGCAGAATTAAACACTACTCTCCATATTTCAAGAATTTTGAAATAGTGTCCACTTGGTGTGCCTTCCTAACTAGATGGCTTGGAAGACCGAGGAATAGTAAAATTCCACTGAATGATTACTCTCTCAGATACTCCCATGCAATTTTTTCATGTTATTCATATTAGCTCATTTAAATAGCTAAATAATTTTATGAAGTTGATATTATCTCTCTGATTTTACTGATGGAAAAACATAGGCCAAAGTTTAGATAACTTGTACAGTTTACAAAACTAAATTAAAAAGCTGTAGTAGGAGGATTTAAACCTGGGTAATTTAGGAGGAAAAAGCTAGTATTAAAAATTACAAAATGAGAAAATTCTTAGTTGATGTTCGACGAAATGGAATTAGGATAAATGAGTTGTTGGGAGGTTACTTTATAGAGGGCCTGTGTCAGAGATAGAGCTGTCCAAACTACGAAATGTGGCAATGTGATCCTCATCTTTATTTTAATGTTAAAGATAAACCAACAGGAATGAATTTATTTAATATTTATTTAATATTTTAATAAAATATTTATTTAATATTGGTATTTTAATACAAATATTAAAGCTAGATCTAATGGACATATTCACAGCTATGTTAAGCACTTTGGGGATATTTAAAGGTAACCTAGAAGTTCAGCCTGGAGTTTTTATATCTTGTACTGGACCCCTTACCATCAGTGTGTTCTCAAGGAAGTCGGTACCACTATTAGTCTGACTGAACCTATCAAGAAGTAATTCTTGAATGATCAATGACGAAGAACATTTTTTCATGTATTTGCCATTAGTATCAATTTGGAGATTCCTCACAAAACTAGGATTGGAAGTCCCATTTAACCCAGCTATTCCCCTTCTGGGTATTTTCCCAGAAGAATTAAAGACATCAAACATCACATTGTCTCCTTGGTGTAGGAACCTGAAAGACTAGGTAAAACTCAAAATGTACAATAGATGATAGGAAAGGGAAAGAAACTGCTCAAAGGAAGGAACAACTGGGATGAGGGCAAGAAGGAAAAAGAAAGAAGGAAGGCAAAACATAAATATATATATGAATAGCTGCGATGACTGTATTGCTGATGTCCGATGGTGTATTGAAATGAACAGCTAATGATTAAAATTTTTCATGTTCTGATCGATTGTGCATGCGTGTGTCTGGTGGTCTGAGCAACTGATTTGAAGGTAACAATATGCAGTGGAATTACATTAGGTGAGCTCCTACCATCTTGTCTGGTGAAACCCTGTATTATCTCTACTATTTTATTGAAGAATGATTTTCTTATTCCCTATAGTGGTCTGAGCAGTCTTTCATTCTTACATCTGGTAATCTGAGCAATGTAGTTGAGGATAGCCATATGTAATGTAACAACCACTGTTGATTTGTATTATTTTGTCTTGAGACCCTGTATCACTTTGAATGTTCTTGCTTTGATTTGTTTATGTTTGTGATACTAGTATGCTGCTACCGTTCTATTTTTTTGTTTGTTTCTTTCTCATTTACCACTCTCTTTAAAATAAAAAAAAGAAAATAATTCTCTGGCAGAAAAATAACTATGTCGTGATCAAATACAAATGAAACCTATACTTCCTTTACTCTATCCTCTCCCTATTAGCTAAACACGATAGTTAGCATGGTTATTAATTTTATTTAACAAAGTTTTTACACATTTCTGGCTTTCTTGAACTCATGTCATGTTTTGGAAAATAAACGGCAGAGATGAGCAAGCAGAAGCTCATCTCTGTCTGCAGAACAATTACTTTGGAAATTGTAGTTCTCTGTGACTTTGTCCTTATCGGATAGCTATAAACTGGAGGACACAACTGCTAGCCAATGACAGCAAGTAAGCTGGCACTGTAATAAAGAAATCAGTATTATTGGCTTTATTGGCTCTTAAATTTTCTGCTGTGTATTTGCAAACTGAAGTAAGTCATGTGTTTGAGTTCCCCACATGCATCCCACCCTGCACAGCTCCTCCAAGTCTCTTGCAATTAGTGTTTAAGGAATAGATAGGTGACCCAACTCTGGCCAAAGAAAGGTGAAGTGAAGCCTGCCCCGCGGATGTTTATAAAAGGTCTCCTCACTCCTTAGACAGAAAGTGAGGGGAAGAGAGCATTCTCTGGCCTCTCAACCCTTTTGCATTGGAGTATGATCCACCGCGCTTCTGTAAGCAAGCTCACAACCAGAACGAATGCCAGTCAGTGGACGGAGCTGACACACTGGCTGTGGCAGATCACAGAGACATATTTCCCCCTGGGCCCTTGATGGATCGCTCAGTTCTTAGACCCAAACAACCTCTGCACTGCTTGTTATGTTTAATAAACATCCCTCCTGACTAAGATACTTTTGGACAGTGTTTTTTTTACTTAGTTGCAGCTGATATACCAAATAAATGCATAATTTGGTCAGGTCCAAAACTTGACAGCCAGTTCTGAGGCCAGTTCACAGCCAAATACTAATGACATATTTAGATGTCTTTTATCCAGTAAGAACAGGTGAACTATAGATTCAATTACCTAATAAACACGATAAAATTCAAGGCAAATACAATCCTAGGTAATGTATTAAATACACAGAATGAATGTCCCTCTTAGAAGAAAAATAACTAGAAAGCTGTGTTAATTGTCTTTCTTCCATCAGTAGCTTTTGGCATTATGCCATCCTCCGAGGTCATCTCTGCCATGTCTCTCTCTGTTTGTTTGCCTCTTGGGAGAACAAACTGATAAGGGGGTGGGGGAGAAAAATCACTCTTTTGCTTCCTTTCTGTACTGATGCAGCTGTCCTTGTTAGCAAATAGAGATTTTAGTTTACCTTCCACAAGTACGTATTTATACCCATGCAGCAGTTCAGGTACCTTTGATAGTCACAGCACCTTTTTCCAGAAATGCTCCAGGCCCCTTCTGGAAATTAGCTCATTTATTCTTATAATATCCCTAGAAGAGGTTCTGTGGTTTTTTTTCCAGTAAGCCACTCTTCCATGAATCCTGGGCACATATCTCATTGCAGAATAACTGTGATGTGGCTTGGCTTCAGCTTTCTTGCTCCATGACCTGTATAAAAAAGATCACCATTAAGTTAGTCCCACATCTTTGGCATTTACAGAGCTGTAGACCCTGTTTTTGGAACTTTGTTTACTTCAATGAAGAAAGCAGGACACGTGACCCTTGTAAGCACATGGGATGTTCTAGGAAGCGTGTCGCCAGGATTCTGGGGTCAGCAGGGGACCCTCCTCCTTCTTTAGTTCATTTACGTGTTCTAAAGACAAGCTGACACTCTGAAGCACATTGCTGTTCTTCACCTCCTACCTTCTTGTCTCCTCCGCCTCTTTATTTCTTCACCTTGTCTTCTTTCCTTCAAGTACCTCAAAGCACGGAGAGCTAGAGACTAGTCAAGCACATGGCCCACTTTGGAGCTGTAGCTCACTATGCTAGTTCCTTTCCTAGCTTTGTATCCTGTCCACCTAAAGCCCAGTTTAACTGTCTTAGTAAGATAAGACAAATACATCTTATTCAATGGCTCCTAAAAGTAACTATTAGACAAGCATGCTAAACCAAAGCACAATATTAGCCTAAATACAGCAATCTGGTGTCATTCCCTTCTCAGCTCTATCCATTAGCAGAGACTTAGTCAACTAAACAAATAAGGATTATTTCAAAGGACAGTGTATGTGATTCTAAAGTCAGCAATTGAAATTTAAAGCAATATTTATTTCAGTTCACAAGTATAATGCTCAAAAACCAAACTGATCATGTGTTCTCATCAACCCATCTCCTTTTATCATTTGCTCTGACAAAAAATATTAACTTTTATCCCTAGTCTGTTAGTCTGTCTCCAAATGAACTCTCTCCAAAGCCACCAATCTATTCTCCCTTCTGTTCTCAGAGACAAGAGTATTATTAAAACCTGTCAGTGTCTCTTGGTGACTTAGTGCTGCAGCAGTAGCAAAAAGTGAAAGTGCTTTTCTGTGCTGTCCTCTGGGCCTCTCCTACCTCTCAGTTTCTGGCAGCACACACATGGTTCTGCCACTCACCAGCTGCATGACGTTAACATGTCACTTAACCAATCCAGTTTTTACTTTCTTGTATGTCGATGGGATATATCCAGCAAAATATGTGTTTTGAAAATTAAATATTTCAAAATTACATACATGTACATACATTTATACCTAGACACATATTTCTGAATTTATATATACTAGCTAATATAAAGTAGGTTTTCCACAAAACCGGAAGCTATAATAGTTTTACTACTAATAAGAGTACTATAATGATTATTTCTGTGAAAGGACAATGATACAAGTAATCGTGCTGATCTGTTATAGATTGGATCTGGAAAGGCCCCAAGGACTCATCTGTTGAAGGCTTGGTCATTGGCCCATAGTGACACTGGAAAGCAGTAGAACCTGAGTAGTAGAACCCACTAAGCTGCACCTAGGAAGCAAGTTAGGTCACTGGGGATGTCTCCTTGAAGGGAAGATTTAGGCCCTGCTTCTTCCTCTTCCCCTCTGTAGGCTTCCTTGCTGCCACGAAGTTAATGACCCTTCACTGTGTGCTCTTGTCATGATGGACTCAGTTCTGCTACAGGCCCAAAATAACAAAGCTAAATGAAGATGGACTGACACTCTGAAACTATGATCCAAAATACGCCTTCCCCCTTTTCCACACGATTCTCTCCAGTATTTTGTTATCATAAAGGAAACTTAATATCAGACAGAGCCATGCACTAGAGATCAATTATTGGATTGTTAAGAGTATAGTGACTCGGTGAGTGTTAGTACTTTCTGCTTCATAGCCACACATTTATTAACACTACTTCCTTTAGCATCACAGCACGGAAATTACTAGATTTCAAATACTTTGTCATCCAGCTTGGCATTAATGAGAATGACATTAAATCACCAAAATATCAAGTTAGCTGTATTTCCTGAAAGATTCTCTCCAGGGACACTGAGGGAGATGAGGTAGTGAGGTCTGGATGGCAAAGAAAAAAAACAAGATGCTAAGAAGGAACAGGAGAGTGAGTGGCGACTGAGAAAGCAGCCCTACAAGTTCTTATTTGCTCAAGGTCTCCTTCTCTGCATTCTTAAGGACATCATTGACTTACAGACTGCAGATTATCTACCTTATGGCTTGAGTGTCAAGCAGGAGAGGCTTTGTAAGTCTCCCCTTCTCCCTGGCAAGAACCTTGAATTCTGCATATGGCCTCACCGAATCGAGTCCTCACGCTCCAAGGTGCATTATATCTTAATGAGGTGTCCATCTCATCTTCAAAGTAGGTCATGCCTTAGAGAGTAACTGTAATATAAAATTAGATCCTTTAACGCCATTTTAAGCTTCGGCATGAGAATTACTTTGGTTCCTTGCTGAAGAAGATTTCTAAGGGAAGTCTGGGACAGGGTCCAGAGAGTGTACTAATGAATTTGGTGCACATGGTACATGGACTATGATTTGAGAAAGGAAGTCAAACTCGGGATATAGCTCAGCGGCACAAGCGCCTGCCCTGCAAGCGCAAGGTCCTGAGTTCGATCCCCGGTATCTCCCCCCAAAAAACCAAACAAACAAGAAAGGAAGTCAAGAGGAAAGAATAGAGATTAAGAAGAATGACATATGAGTAGTTTGCATAATTAAGGCTGGAATATAGCTCTTGTGTATTGGGTACCAAGAAAAATGGAAGCATACTGGATTATGAACATTTATTTCTATTTTAGGAAAATACAAAACAAAAACAGTTCCTAATGTGTGTACAAAAACAGACTTATTCCAAAATCTAAACTGGTGAGAAGAATATCTATCTAGCAGATGGCCTAAGGAACAATAAATAACATACTCAGTGTGTATCTCAAATTTAATTTTGTAAAGACTTATGCAAAGTTTAATCAACTATGTCTTCTACTATTGGCTAAAATTTGTTAAATGCAGTATATTTCATTTAGAAGGTGGTGAGATTAATTCAGAAACTTTGTTTTTAGATGACCTAATAAGTTTCTTAAACTTAGAGACCCCCCCTCAATGGTTAGCTAGCCTTTGCAATGTACTTATTAGAACTTCACAACTTTTAAATGCAGGGGAAATTCTTTATTTCACAGTGAGGAAGTGGTAGCTCAGAAAGTGTGATGAAAACTTTACTGTGAACAGTGAATGAGACCAGCTGCAGAATTTTATGTAAAGTTGCTTTAAATTTATTTCTCTTAACCCATTACTATTTTTATTATTAATGTTCTTAATGATATCACTAATATCACCAATTAAATTTTATAGAGGTAAAATGAATTGTTTATATTACCTTTTGAGTTATTATCATTTATCTTACCTATTTACACTTTAAGATATTCTAATTCTCAGTGTTTTTTTCAGATTTTCATATTGGTATATCTCCACTGATTTTGGTATCACTTTGCATCTTTAGTTTATATTATTATTATCATTGTTATTATCATTTTTATTATTATTATTACTGTTATTAGTGATATGGGGGATTGAACCCAGGGCCTTTGCATGGAGCTATATCTCACTAAGTTGCTAAATTGCCCAGTTTGGGTTTGAATTTTTGATTATTCTACCTCAGTCTTTCAGAATGCTGGGATTACCACTGTCAGCCCCAATGCCTGACTATCCTTTAATTATTTTTTGCCATCCATTTTATTTTCTTTTAATTCACTTTATCTTCCTTTATTCTGACAAGATAATACACCTGTGTCAGAACTTTCAAGGCCAAAACCACATCTGTCAGGCATCGCATTGTAAAACTCTGCTTCCTCAGCACTTTGTCAAGTACAGGAGCAGATTCAAAGCTGATCCTTGAAAATCTGAAAGTTCTTGGTGAACTTCAGGTCCCTGGAAATGTTTCTATGAGAAGGGACCACCTTCCTCAACCTCTGTAACAAGCTAACAGTCTTATTTATCACTTGCATGTCTGGTGTTAAGACCTGAGGTCGCCATCAAGAACATAACTTTAAGTTGTGACATCACCAATTAGCAAGGAGTGAAATTGTGTAACATTGTGTAGGAAAAAACCCTGTATCCACTCCCTAGTATGTGCCAGGGACCCTCCTTGGAACAAATCTGACCACCTCCATGGTGGTCCATGTTAACGATAAATCTGAGATTTCCTTGTGTTGTATAAGACCTATTTCTATCTTTACTCTAGAAATGATGAGGCCAGGAGGCTTAGAACTAAATGTACATTCTCAAAGAGTAATTTCATTAACCCATAATCTTTAACACATATATCATATACACGTTCCCCATTTTCCTGGTCTTGGACATACTATTGCACAAGCTTTTAATGAATAATGTGTCAGTTTATATCACTTTTTTCAGAGTTATGGAATATGACACAAACAAAATCCTTCTAAGTTCCTAACCGAAAAGCTTTCTTCAATCTGAACCATGATTCTGTACTTTTTATAAATAACTCATTTTTCTCTTCTCAAGAACTACCATTTTTTGTCTTATTGAGCCAGGGTTCCACTGTGCAGTTCAAACTGGCCCTGAACTCACTTTGCAGCCCAGGCTGCCCGTGAACTCACAGCGATCCTCCTTCCTCAGCCTCTCAAGAACTATCTTAACTTTACAATGAAAATAAATTTTAAAATTTGAACTTGGAAACACAATATTCTCAAATTGGAAAGAATCTTTCAGGCCATCTACTTTCTCTAATTTTGGCTACAGTTGGGGTTCTTAAGATTTAAACCAGCTGCTCAGGAGGCTGGGACAGAAGGATTGCAAGTTCAAAGTCAGCCTGGGGAATTTAGAGAGGCCCTGTCTCAAAATTAGAAAAAACAAAAGGGCTGGGGGCATAGCTCACCAGTAGAAGGTCCCTGGGTTTCATCCCCAGTACCAGAAAAAAATATGAGGGTCATCCAGAGAATTTTGTATTGAAATACAGCGTCTTTCTGTGCCCCGCCCCCAAGCTGTTTATTGCAGTAGGTTTGGGCGGGGCCTGCTTTGCGTTTCTAACAAGGGACACGTGATGCCCATGTTGGTGACTCTGGAACTACATTCCCACAATGACTAAGCTTAAACAATCCAAAATTTTGGGTATTTTTGAA